TGGTACGCAAAAAAATGTCTGATTCTGATTTTGATATAGACGGCCCCGGCAGTGAGGGAAGGGGAAGGGGGGGGGGGGGGGAATCAAAAAATATTTTATCATCCTTAAAGGCGTTTTTTGTGAAATGTAAAAATGTTAATCAAACTTGTGGTTTTGTTTTAGTGGGTAGAATGGCGATAGAACAAAAGTTTTTGTTTTTTTGATAAAGGGTGTAGTTTTCCTGTAAAATGCTAAAAACTAATCAATTGAACCTTTAGGGGTAGCTCACCCTCCCCTGCCAGAAGAGGGCGGAAGCAAAATGTTCCTTTTGGTCCAATATACAGTTGTGCAAAGTGGCTTGCTTTATTCATCAAACGCCCTATAATCGCATTTTTCGGCTTGTAGGGCTAGGACTAGAACAGGGTTAATGTCGCAAGAGATAATGAACTGTTTTCAAGCTTCTATAACATTGCAACAAAAGTTTTTGAAATAAATTTCAATAAGTTATAACAGACGGACGGATAACGATGAAACAACAAATCGATGTTTGAAGTGGAATTGACACTTTTTAATTAATTATGGTGGAAATTACAGTATCAATTCAAACACTATATCAGAACGCCGCGCCGCCCTGAAAATGAACAATTGTGCCACAAAGTCACATTTGTCTTTCTCATTAGATTGATTAATTAATTACAGATCGATTCGCACAAAAAACATACAACAGAATACCCATACTCCGATTCTTGGTCGTAATGTTTTGTTTTCTAATTTTCTAAAATAAGGCAACAATAAAAGTACGAGAGGGTTCGTTACAATACTTGGACGATGTCCAAAAGAGATTGAGATTACTCAGTTTATTTATATTAGAAACATAACGCATTTTTGTCGGTAAAAACATTCCTCGTTACGTGAGTTTCGGAACTTCTGACAAAAAAAAGAATTTTTGTATAGAGAAAGAGTTTCACGTCAGTCTATATATCCAACTGTACAAAAAATAAAGTGGGCTATTAGTACGTATATGACAGTTATATGTTTGTATACTCGTAGACCATGAAGAACTAAGAAGTTATAAATGCATTTTTCGTCTTTTTAACTTGGTCAGAATTTAGTTCCTCTGCCGTAATACTAATTGAAGCACTTTTCGAAATAATTCATACGATTTATGTTCTTTGTGATTTACCTCAACAAGGACACATGTCATACCGCCGTAATTATGCGGAAGCTGTTGACATCTTCACAATGTTATACGTGTTTGTCAGTTCCTCATTTGCGTTCCATTTATCAGAGGACTGCACAATAAAAAAATCACTACAAAATGTCATCAGATCCACTAACTAGACTGGTTTGGTAATCAAGCTGTCAAATTTTATAAAGCAATAATAAATCCTTTTCATCAGATTGACGCTGTGAAAATTTGGGCGCATCTCGAGCTTTGGCGCAATTGGTTCACAAACAAGTTTCAACACCAACGTCAAACAATCAACTCATTTTTATTAATTACAAGGCATCCGTAAATGATCGCAAGTGCAACTTTGATACGTAACATGCTACCTTGAGAAAATGAAGTTATGAAACAAAGTAAGTTCAAGTACATAAATTGGCACATGTACAACCACCTATTTTTTTCTCTCGGCCCACGTATACTTCGGGGTAATAACCTGTATTGACTTCGTTATTAAATTTAGAATTAGCTTATCAATTATTTACACTTTAGGAAGACAAATCAATCGAGCTAAAAAAAAATAGGAATCACCAAGTCTCGTAAATTAAAAGTTTAACGAACCGCTAGAACAATCTGAATCTTGCAATTATATACGTCTGAACACGTAAACGATTGCGGATTAATCGGTACTTCCAAATTTTCATGTTTCATTACAAAACACGCGCTCGTTTCTTTGGCAATAAAAGTGTGCGTTATTTACATTTGAAATAAACGGGGCAGATTTGTTTTATAATAAAGTGGGTACATGGCAAATACAAAAAATGACTATTTTTAAGAGCGATGAATCATGCATTGTGACGTTTTCTTAAAAAAACGGTGAAGTTTCCGCCAAGAATGCAATTTCATTTATGCAACACTAACCTGTGCCAAGCATATCGCTTTTGCTATTTCTAGCTTTCTGGACTGACTATGGAATTATTGCATTTTGTAGTGGCTACCACTTTTGTTGATTTTTTCATTTTCATTGGGACTATTACAATCCAATTGCGACTTGGCGCTAGTACAAGTTATATAATAATAGGTAGACTCAAGGTGTACAATTATTTTTAGTAGTAATCTAATTAATGCGCTCTTTTATGTGTTAAAACGGCACTTTGTTATTAAGTAGTTTGCGTGTTTTGCTGAAATGTCAAATATATTAATTGGAAACAAAATCACGCCATTAAAAAAAAACAAACAATGAAAGAAATGGGATTGTAAGTATATGTATTTCTGTTAGCATGGAAACAAATTTAATGTCAGACATTCGGCATGTTAAAGTATGGTGTCTCCGTAGACAGATATATGGGTTCTAATGTTTCTTCTTTACATATATATCTTTTACTTCAGTCACTGTGGTTTCATGGCACTAAATTCATTGAATAAAATATACCTCGCCTTAAGTCTCCATTGTATTTTGTACAGTGGATTGATACGTGATATAATGAAGTGTACTAGTCATACAATTTTGAATTGTAGCCAACCCGGAAAAATAGACGGATTTATTGGCTCTACTTCTGTCGTGATCACCTGTATAAATAAATTCAAAACTTTTGTATATCAAAGAGTTTAAACACTGGAACCGATTAACCAAATTTTCTGAGTGTTCGTTTGCAATAAATATTTCCCGAATGCGGAAGTTTTATTTGTTTGATAATTACATTTGTTTAACAAACAAATCGAAATTTATGAACAGTTAGATAGTTTTAATTCTTTCTATTGACAGAAATGCTGATATTAAAATCCGCTTCAAATTTGTAAATGCATTTATTAAATAAATGGGCTCGTTGTCATTGTGTCGCTAGTTTTAACGATTTCCATATTTAAGTTTGTTACAGTAGATAATTGGAAAGGTTATCTTGGAAGTGTGCTTTTAAGGCGCCATGTATCAATTGGGACAATTGTTTCATTTGGACGACCCGATCAGATGAATCTATCGTACTTTATTGCGTGCAATTTATTTGCGATATAAAAAAGAGATACGTAAAAATCTCCACTAATTAATTAACACTTCCAGTAAATTAATTAAAATTTTACGAGGGCTATTTTAAATCAATTAAATCAATAAATAACCGACCAAAGGTCTCGTAAAATTGTAATGCTCTCAAAATTGGGACACATAAATCGTGCAATAAAATTATTGAGGACTTTTATAATCGAATATTGACAAGTAGGAGGAAAAACCTTGAAGGCCGAGTGTTCCATTAAAATTTATTGTCTCGCAAAAAACCTAATGAGATACGCAAATTAAGTGCTAACGTTAAAAAAATTAATTACAATGATACATGGTTGTTAGCGTAGGGACGCAATGTAACCATCCGTAGAGTCAAACCTAAAAATGCGAATATCTCGAGCACTAAAAACCCTACAAAGGGAAGGTGGAGGGCAGCGACGCGATGTATCCGTCCTTGGTACCAAAACTTCAAATGCGAATTTCTCGAATAAAGAGCGGAGGTTCGATGTATCCGTTCGTGGAGTCAAAACTTCAAGCGTGAATATTTCGAGAACTAAAAGGGGATAAGTGGAGGGTTTGGACGCGATGTATCCGTTAGTGCGGCCAAAACTTCAAATGCGCATATCTCTAAAACTAAATCTCGGAAGAAGGCACTTACAAAAGGAATGTAAACAGTGAAGGTTCGATGTATCCGTCAGTGGAGTCAAAACTTAAAATGCAAATATCTTGAAAACGGGATATCGGAAAAGAGACGGGCCTGTCGGTCCCAATTATCCAGATTATGGTTTTGTAATGGATGAGAAAATATTACACGGGATACGGTACTGATACTATCGTGCTTAATCGATACATGGGTTTTAAAAGTCTTGATTTTTCTAACCCTGAAGCTTAAAGTAGGCTTGTACCTAGGAGGAATTGTAAAACTTTGGAAATTGAATTGGTTTTCAGAGGTCCCGACATAAAACTGATAACGAAAAATTAACTACGTCTGATTTTTTGACGGAAACTTATAAAGCAATTACCATTTCTATACGCTATATGACTTTATTTTCAGATCCTTGTACAAAACGACTGTGCAGAATGCAGAAATAACTACTCAAAATGAGCTATAATAATAATATCTGCCTTCGATCTTCCAAATCCAAAGAAATGATAAATATCGTAATGATATTGTGCAAGGATCAGAATGTATCTTTCGTCCTTGATTTACTTTAATCCATCCGAGAAAACTTTATTCCCATAAATTTAACGCGTCTTCGTTAAGTCCACCTTTTAATTATAGCGTACACTAAGCGCTTTTGAAGTAGAGATCTATAAATACGCACAACGTTTTGCTGTAAATATTGCTCACCCTGCGGGGTATCTAATAAAGTAATCACTATAGCGTACACAATAAACGTTTGATTTACTTCACACTTACTTATAATACTGTTACGATCCGAAATTTTGTGTATTTAATTCGACTAACATTATTGATCTGTAGCGAATATTCCAGAATTCCAAATACGCGCCGTGAAAGATTAGTCATCGGCGATAAAGAACGAAGGCGGATCGAAAAAAGAGAGGTTTGCTATATAAGCAAATCGAAATATGATTCAGATGAGTTCCAACTTCGATGCGCTTGTGTTATGTTATAAGTTGTACCTAAGTAATAAATAATAATTACTGTTATAAATTTATTGTTAGTTAGTTGCAATAAATAAAACCGCGTAATTAAATTTACATTACACTGGTGTCAAGTGTCGGGTTGTGTTATGTTAGCAATTAGTGGAAGTTTATGCCAATAGTGACCAGATCTACGTTAGACAAAATGGAACAGGTCAACAAACCATGTAGGCTTAAATCGAAGCTGGTCAAGTTGAAATGAAAGCCGGTCAGCAGGCCATGGAAGCTAAAATCGAAGCTGGTCAACAAGCCATGGATGCTAAAATAGAAGCAAGTTAGCAAGAAATCAGATTCAAGACGAGATACAGAGTGTCCAAAATAAAAGTCATGCAATAGAAAGTGAAATAAAAAAAAGATATCTACGAACTACGAAAACAATTTATGTATAAGCCCTCAAATCGTGTGAAAACGTTGGTACTCTAAAAGTTCGAGTTAAGCCGTGGCCCACCTACTTAAGACAGTTTGAGACCGCTGTCGACGCACGGTGGAGCTCAAAATGACCGTGAATTACGTTTAGTGATAAACTGGAAAATGGAAGAGAAAAAGCCAACCTGGGAAGAGGTATCTCGATACGGTCCAGTGGGACTCGTTACGGTTTGAAGATGGTATTCTGAAGAGAACTCTAGAAAATGACGATGGCACGACCACCTGGATGCAGCTACTGCTACCGGAGAGCAATAAATCTGAAGTACTACGCCAAATGCACAATGGTATATCGGGAGGCCATTCAGTAGTCACGAAAACCCTGGTTAAGGTGCGGGAACGGTTCTACTGGGTGAATTGCAAACAAGATGTGAAGGAAATGTGCAGTTTGTGCCATAAGCAGGGAAGAAGAAAGCACCAACGAGGCAACACAATGTGGGTAGTCCATTTGAAAGAATAGTCATTGATATCACGGAGACAGATTCTGAAAACAAATGCATCTTAGTGGCCATCATGCATTATTTCAGCACCGCTACCATCTTGGTGACCATGAAGTATTTCAGCAAATGGACAGAAACATATGCGCTACCAAATCAAGAAGCGACAACTGTGGTAGATAATCTGGTAAAAAAACTTTTTAGCAAATTTGGAGTACTCCTGGAACTCTGACCAGGGACTAAATTTTGAATCGGCGCTATTCCAAAGCCTGTGTCAACTATTGGGCATTTTTTACTGATTACAACGCCACCTTACCTCTAAACAATTACCTTAATCTTTTCTAAAATAAACGAAAAGCTCAATAAATCAGGTCCAATCTGTCACAAACCCCTTAACCACATTGATAGCGAAAAATGGAGGTTAAAATTTTCTTAGTCTTAATCAATTCCAAGAAATACTCTTAACTTTTACAATGGAGGTAAACAAACCTGACCTTGGCTACAGGCTCGAATCGCAAAATTATTTTCTGTTAATTCTAAAATCATTCCAATGAGATTGATTAGCAAGAATTATAGTGAAACGTTGAATTAATGATTATGAACACCCGAAACCGTTCCAAATGCCTCGATCAAAACATTAAGGTCCCAATCTGACATTGTTTACACAGCAATATGTTCGTCCGTCTTGTGAGACAGTTTTAAGAGGAGGGCAGTGTAGCCGATCTATAAATCGGCGATAAAGAACGAAGGAGGATGAGACGTTTGTTGTTCGAGAACATTCTGGAAAGAGAGGGATTTGCTATATAAGCAAATCTAATTATGATTTAGGTCTTGCTATGACACTGTGTGTATTACTCTGATACAGGGAGGCGACTCTTCAAGCCGTAAAATGATATTTTTGTACTCAGTCGAAAGCAAAGTAAAGAAACGCGCCCTCTGTACCTTTTTCTGCAATCGCAATTTTGAAGACGGCTGAGAGTAAGGGTGGTAGATGAAATTGGCTCCAGAAAAAATACTTTTTCTGCATTACCTTCCTCGCTCTGAAAAGGGTTGGTTGCACCGTATGGTATAGAGGTTTTTTAGAATATAGGAACAAAGACGCTGTGGTCAATGATGAAATAGTAATCAGTAATCGTGTTGAGGGACAAGGAAAGGATCCAATGGCATTTATATTAACGTCAATTTATACAAAGGGGTCGCTTACCGCGAAAGAAGTTTTTTTGCAACTGATGTTTTTAATACACGACCAACTTTTTGGCGAGAAGGGTGCCAAAATCGTAATCGTGACGTATAGAAAATAGTAGCATTCCACTGAATTGATTGGGTATTTTTAGTATTTGGTAGGAAAAAATCAGTAAGGAAGTGAGTCTAGTTAGCTAAAAATGAATCTAGGATCTTTTTCGTTGATTTTGTACGTTATAGTAAAAATTTCATTTATTTTCTAATACATAAAACGAATATTTAGACACCAGTTGGGTAATAACTAATTTTGTGCAATCCGGTACGAAGTAAGACCCGAAAGGATTAAAGAATATCCCGCATCACTTGGGACCGCAGTAGCACCAAAAGAAACCCTCCGAAAATGGACTTTAGCTCTTCAACTATGACTCAGTTGGTATCATGGTAAAAGGATTTGAAAAAGTAGGTGGGCTAACAACATCTCACGATTTGACCCCGTTTGGGTCCTTAAGAGACAGAACAGTACACGAAGCTTACAAAGCGATTTGAACATAGATCTCATTATCGCCTTAGGCAGTTGTGACGCCTCTTTTGAACATTTAATTAAATAAATTTATAAACAATCAAAACGCAAATATTAAAACTTATTCATTTTCTTTTTTTAATGTTTTTTTTTCAAATGATTTATGTACCATATTATATATTAATTTGATTATAGGGGCATTTCTGTAAATAGAATTGTGTGGCTGATGTGTCGCCTATTGACGTATTACATTTTTTAAGAGGAGTGCAAGGATAAATTTGATACTATCCGCACATTTCAAGGTTTGCTTCATTTTATCATTATAGGCAGAGCTGGGCAGAATACTTTCAAAAAGTAATTGAATACTAAATAGCAAATACTTTACACAAATCAAAGGTATTTGAATACTAAATACTTTTACGTCCAGCACAAGCGAATACTAGATACAGATACATTGAAAAGTTTTGAAATACTTTAAAAAATAAGTATTCAAATACTTTAGAATGCATTCGAATACTTTCAAAAGTATTCGAATACTTTCAAAAGTATTCTAATACTATCAAAGGTATTCGAATACTATAAAAAGTATTCGAATACTTTGAAAAGTATTTCATTAACTTACATTGAAAAGTATTCGAATACAGTAAGAAGTATTCAAATACTTGTCACTCAAATACATTAAAAATTTAAAATAGTATACTAGATAAAAGTCTTAATACTACTTAAAAAATCAAGTTATACTTTGAATGGGGTTAGCTTTTTTTTATATTTCTATTGTTATATACAAATTTAAGGGGAGTAAAAGCGTATTATTACTAATATTATTATTATATAGGAGGTACTAGGACCTTTCTTATACCAGTTATATCCTTAAGAATATGTGTACCAGTTTTCAAAACGTCGTGCACATGATACGTACGCCTTTCTGAAATTAATCCTAGCGCTTTTGGAACAGATCCATTTTTGACCATCCGTTTGTCCGTGTGCGTGATAGTTTAGAAGCGTGCGATCGCTTTGAAGATTGGTACACATGGTCTTAAGGATATAAGAAAGGTCTCTATTGTTTTTAAGTTACGTAGACTATCGAGTCAAAAAGTTTCACTCCAGGATCGTTCGGTATTCAGTTGTATCGGATTTTTATATTTCATTTTGTGACAATGGAAACTTTCCCTAAACATTTCTAAATTGTTCTCAAATATTTGAATAACTTAAAAGTACTGCGTTTTTTTGAGGCCGGAAAAAAAATTGTCTGAGATCGACCGGGAAAAACATTTTCTTATAGAATTTGGCCCGTAGAATCCATAATTTCAAACAGTTCCAAGATTGGGCTACTAGTTCAAAAGTTACAGCCCTTTGAATTTTTTTTCGAAATTGGTTTCTAGTCTAACTTTTGATTGAGAAGTCTAATCGAAAAAGTACGAATTGTTTTGGATTCTACGCACCAAAATTAATAAGAAAAAGTATTTTCCCGAGAAATTTTGGTGTAGTCGATTTTTGGTAAAAAAAAGGAAGGTTATACACTGTCTTTTTTTGAGGCCCGAAAAAAAAATTTTCTCAGATCGACCCGGAAAGAAAATTTCTTATAGAATGTGGCCTGTAAAATCCATAATTTCAAACAGTTCCAAGATTGGGCTACTAGTTCAAAAGTTACAGTCCTTTGAATTTTCTTTCGAAATTGATTTCTAGTCTATAACTATAACCAAAATTCATAAGAAAAAGTGTTTTCCCGAGAAATTTTGGAGTAGTCGATTTTTGTAAAAAAGGAAGGTTAAGTATCCAAATACTATGCAAAGTATCCGAATACTTGTCAAAGTATTCAAATATCTTGCGAAGTTTTCGAATACTAAATATTTGTGAAAGTATTTGAGTTACAAATACAAATACTCTGCTTCCATAAAAGTATTTAATTACAAAGTATTTGAATACTTTAAAGGATTTGAATACTAAAAAGTATTTACAAAATCGAATACTGCCCAGCTCTGATTATACTGACAGACGGACGGACGGACAAAAATTAAAAGCTATAAAAAGTATCTGGAGATCTTAACTATAAGATTTATAGCGAACACAGACGAACGAGCGGACAACCATACAAAACAATAAAGGATCTGAGAATTCTTAATAAGATATTTCGTAAACGCCAAGGATAATTAATTACTTATATATATATACAATCACAAGTACCTACACATTTCATACACGCATAATCATAGATATTATTATTAGCATATGGGCTATATATACTAAAAGCTTATAACAGACTCAATGTGAAATGCAATAATAAAGTCCTGATAGGAACAGGATCGCATTGTATTATTATTATTTAGGGTAGGGCATTCAATAAAACTGTTATTACCTTGTCGAATGTGGCAGGAATAATCGCACCATACGGGAGCTTAAGGTTGTTAATTTGTGAAAAAAAAACTAGAATGTTTTAGAGGCAGATCGGATGACGATTCTACACTAACTACACCCACGCAGTTGAAACGCGCCGTTTCAGACTAAAAATATAAATCGCAAATAAGAGAAAATTGTTTTACGAAAGCCATTATGTCTTTATGTGGGAAGCGTGCGTCGATGTTACCACAGTTACCGAAGTACTCAACTGTATTTGTCTGATTTAAAAAAGGATCATTATTTGATTATAAAGGTAGCGTATTAAAAGGACGATTCGCCAACATTTTAAGACGATGTGTTTTACCCTTACAGTTTTAAATCACCATCAGCTAGTTAACAAAAAATACAAACAATTTCGAAACTCGTACAAACATAACAAGAAAAATATAGAAAGATAATGAAATGTGCCCTTATTCGTGGAAACAATGGTTCTTAGGTACCAAAAATTTTATGTGGTATACAATTTTGAGAATAATGAAGGGTAAAACTCCACCCTCTTTGACATGGGTCAAGGAAGAGTCGGATCTAATTTTGGAGGGAACAGCGACAGTTGTATCAAATGGAAAAATCAAAGAATATAAATAAAACTTTTGCTGAATATGTCGACTCAATTGGAATAATATGGGATCTGGGTTTCAGCGGCTAATTTACATCATGTCCTCCATCAAATATGCAACTCACAATTTAGAGGTCAAGAACATTTTGGTTGTACAGCTATGGCCTATTGTTTCATATTCAAAAAATATATTTTTTTTTCAAAATTGGAAAGGACATGCTCAAAAACCTTGCTGGGGTGACTTTTGGCACGCAACATAATATTCATCATGGTAAATCCGCAATTCCAAGAATTGGTCTCCCTAAGTATTTTAGGAACAATAGTAAATTATTTTATGCGCACG